AGGAGAGGAGAGGAGAGAGAGGAGAGGAGAGGAAAGTGGAGAGGGGCAGGAGAAGAAGAAAAAGAAAAAGAAGCAAAGTGCCAATGTAATGTTCTCCTTCCCTCCTGCGCTCTCCCCAAAGATCAGGACCTGAGATTCCCTGACCTCCTGGTACACACCACTCTCCCAGCATCATTCTCTGTTCCTTTTCTCACAGTTTTCCAAACTTGAGTCTAATTAAAAACTATTGGGGCCAGGGAGATGGCTCAGTAGAATAAGTGCTTTCCTGGCAAGCACAAGGGCAGGAGTTCAATGCCCCATTACAAAAAAAAAAAAATTTATCAAAAGATTCTTCAAGGCCAAAAAAAACAGAGAGAAGATACTGCTTGCCAGTATGGAAATTTATTTGATATAGGGTCTCACAAAGTTGCTAAATGTCACTGGCTTTGCTCAAACTTGACACTTTCTTGCCTCAGTGTCCTGTGCTGTGACACCACACTCAGCCATGAATGCCTTCTGATTTCCACCTTCCCCTTTTTGTGCAGGTCTACGGACAGGGCACCCAGAGTCCTGTTACTCTGAAGAACACTACTGTTCACCTCCAGTTTCTCTGTGAGGCAGGTGACAATGACTGGACTGCTAAGGAAGCCTACACAGAAATTCAGGGTCTCAACTCCACCTCTCCTGCCTGCTAGCTGTGCAGTGTGGACCCACTGGTGACAGGAACGCATGTGAGGCTGGATGAGTTGCATCTTTTCCATGCACAAAATGAATATAATAGTATTTAGTAGGGTTGCTGTGAGAATTACATGAATGAGACTGGTTTTTTTGTTTTTGTTTTTGTTTTTGGGTTCAGTACTGGTGATTGATCTTGGAACCTCACACTTGCCAGGTTGGTGCTTATGCCGCTGAGCTATCTCCCCAGCCCAAAAATCAAATGAGACAGTACAGGTGAAAAATTATAATTTACATAATGCTAAATACTTGTTGGCAGCATTCAATTCATAACACTGACTCCATCACTACCTCTTTTTTACTCTGAAAACATTCTCTTCTTTTCAAGGACTTTGTTCCATTTTGCCTTTATTTACAGTTGAGCTTAGCCAATCTCCCAAATGACAGGTCACTTTTTTTTTTAACCTTCTTATATGCACTGACTTTATTTTTTTTCCATAATTTCATTGATAAACAAATAGAAATGATACAGTTTCAAATCAAATTGATAAGACAGTTTCAATAATTAACACATTATATACATTCTTCCTAGTGATTAATTGCTGTACAAGATGCAGACATGATATCCTATTTACAAACACCACTAGAACAAATCACTCTATTCATTAAGAGAATGTAGCTATATATCTATCCTAACCATTTTGAGTACACAGAAACAAAATGGACATTCGTTTGTATACCCTTTTTTTGTTAAGTTCCATTATTTGAATATTATACGTGTGTAAACTCGGCAAAATATTCTAAAAGAGTCCAGTAGCCCATAATAGTATTGGGTCTTCCGCTTGACTGGCAATGTCAGAAATTGTTGACCTGAGTCCCCTACAGCTCAACATAACAGCATGGCTTTATTTCTTCTATTTCTTCTTTATACTTTTCTGCTGGATGGTCAAGACCAAGGTAAAGCAGGACCTATGCAACAAGAGTTGTAGCTTTTAGGTCTGTTAAGGTCAGTGAAATCCCCTCAGGATTTATTCTGAGATCCTGTACCTCAGATTGTAGAACCTTTGTCAGTGTCAGCCATGTGGATGAGTCACGGCCATTGCTTGGCCAATGTACTCTCTGTGAAAGCCTGAGAGAGTGTTTTCTCTCCATGTGACTCTCCTTAGGCACACTCTACAGCATCGATCACTTTCCTCTTTGGCCCCATAATCTCTTTGATCAGAAAATTTGGGACACTACTGAGTTACATGACATTACAGTGCAAGTTCTCATATGTCCTGAGTCTTAATTGACTTTAGAAGGCTAGGGAAAAAACGTTGGCTTTCCTTGCAGCCCTCCTTTCTCTCTAATTTTGATCTGCAAACTTAGGTAGTTAACCATCCAGAAGACAAGCTTATTGTTATTACCATGCAACTTAGGCTGTTAAGCTTAACCTCACTATCTGTCTGCATATCAAACATCTTAGGCATAATATGGAACAGGTATCTTTCATCAAGTATTGATATTTTGAACTTTAAGTCCCTACGGAATATGATAAAAAATTTAACAATTAGAATATATTTTAAAAACAGGCATAAGGAATCATTCCTAAAATTTATCTGGAAGCAGAAAAGACCTAGAATAGCAAAGACAATTCTGGGCAATAAAGACAAGGCAAGAGGCATTACAATTCCTGACTTGAAATTATACTACAAGGCTACTGTGATAAAATCAGCATGGTACTGGTAACAAAATAGACCAGAGGATCAATGGAATAGATTAGAAGACGCTGAAGCCCCTACGAACACACTCAGCCACCTTATCTTTGACAAAGGGGCCAAACATACTCACTGGAAGAAAGATAGCCTCTTTAACAAATGGTGCTGGAAAAACTGGCTCTCTACATGCCAAAAACTCAAACTTGACCCAGGTCTATCACCATGCACTAAACTAAAGTCAAAATGGATTAAAGATCTAAACATTAAAGCAGAGACACTAAATCTCCTGGAAGAGAAAGTGAGAGGAACTCTTGAAGACATAGGGGTAGGCAAAGAGTTCATGAACAGAAATCAAATCACACAGGAAACAGTTGAAAGAATTAACAACTGGGACCTGCTCTTACTGAGAAGTTTTTTCATGTCAAAAGAAATTACCAACAAAGTGAAAAGACAACCCACAAATTTGGAAAAAATCATGACAAATAAGTACTCAGACAAAGGTCTGCTTTCTAGAATTTATAAAGAACTAAAAAACACTAGGGCCCCAAAACTTAAAGACCCAATCCAGAAATGGGCATCCGAGATGAACACACACTTTTCAGAGGAAAAAATTAAAGAAGCGAATAAATATATGAAAAAATGTTCCACATCTGGGCCGGGGAGATGGCTCAGTGGAATAAGCGCTTCCCTGGCAAGTGCAAGGGCCTGAGTTCAATCCCCGGTTCCGCAAAAGAAAAAAAGAAAAGAAAAGAAAAATGCTCCACATCGCTAGCCATCTGCAAAATGCAAATTAAAACCACATTGAGATATCATCTCACCCCAGAAAGAATGGCTATCATAAAGAAATCACCCAACAACAAATGTTGGAGAGGCTGTGGGGAAAAAGGAACCCTTCTCCACTGCTGGTGGGAATGTAGACTGGGGCAACTGTTATGGAAATCAGTATGGAGACTCCTAAGAAAAGTTGGTCTGGAAATCCCCTTTAAACCAGCTATTCCTCTACTGGGAATTTTCCCAGAGGATCTGAAAACATCATATCATAGGGATATATGTGTGCCTATGTTTATAGCAGCACAATTTGTGATAGCCAAATCTTGGAAACAACCAAGATGCCCATCACCTGAGGAATGGTTGAGAAAGATGTGGTATTTTTACACAATGGAGTATTATTCAGCTATTAAGAATGATAAACTGCAAGCCTTTATATTGAAGTGGATGCCACATGAACATATACTCGTAAGTGAAATAAACCAGACACACATGTGTAAATATCGTATAGTCTCCCTAGTATAAGAACTCAAAAGGAGAAATACAAATAGAAAGGTGTAATACAAGCAAAAAGAAAAGCAGAATCTCCAGGACAGTTCACTTTTGTGGATTAGCTACAGAGGCAAAGTGATTTTCGGAGAACGTGCAGCAAGTTGCATCTCATTTACAGGATACATTGTAAATACTTCCTGCCGGGTCTTCCCTACTCATCACTTTGTAATTCCTTTTTTCTGTCTAGAGCAAGGCGGCTTGGAAACAGTCGCTGAGCACTTTAAAGGCCTTTAAATAGGTTTAAAAATACTAACAGAATGTGAGAAATGTATACAAATGTCTAAAAGCACTGAAGATGGGTTTTAAATGTACTGTCAATATCTGTCTATTTCTGGGTTCTACAGCAGGTTTTAATCAAGATAGCCTGCAGGCTCGTTTGTTTGTTTGTTGTTGTTTTGTTTTTGTTGTTGTTGGTTTTTTGTTTACCTGGAATGACACAGCAGAAAAATAAAGACCTGCAAGGCTGTGTGTCAGGCAATTCAGGTTCCGCTTCTGCTTCCTATGCTGACAGGCCATTG